TTTTGAACCTTTGTCCCAGTGCCTTCTTTTGGCAGACCTTACCTGTAGCTTTTTTCCTTGTCTGTGCCCATAAGGAACCTTGCAAATCACTTCCTGTACTTCCTGAATGTCCATCAGTAGTGACCATTGTACAGGCCTAGAGCTGAACATGCACTGACCCTGCCTAATGTCCTGTCTCAGGCCAGCCAGGGCCTCAGGAAGCTGTGGAAGTCAGTCCTTCATGGCATGCATGCTGGAATCCACATGCAGGGAAATAGAGCTGTTCATTTTTACAGAACCCATGTAACAATTGACTCTGTCACAAATTGCGCCCCAATCTCATGGAATGACCCTCATGTTTCTGGTCACAGTCCCCAGAACATGCCCTCCTAGTGGATACTCTGGCCCAGGCATCTGTGTTCCACCAGAACTTTGCAGTTGGTGTTGATGACCAGTGGTACAATACATGACAGACAAAAGCCACTAGCTGGTTTGAAACTTTCCCCAAAGAGAAAGTCGAAGAGAGATTATAACTAAATCTCGTGTGGGAGTGGTCATTGTTGTGGGTGTAGGACTTCCAGGGTGTGCTTGCAGAGGGAATGTATGGGCACACTAGTATTTTTGTAGGTCTTCGGCACTGTGCCTACTGGAAATGTACAAATTGTTGGTGTTGTCATGAAGAGATAAATGTGACCAAAAATCATCACGTTTTCGGGTTTTTTATTTTTTTTATTTTTGGTCAAGTCAACCATGCTCTCTGATGCTGACTAACTTGGTGAATTTATTTTGATAACATTCATTGAAATCAGCTGATCACAGTGACCTCTGTCATGCTGAGGGCAAAATGCAGCTAAACTGCATTGTTTGTTTTCATGAAGAGACAAATCCTCCATGGTGATGATGTTGAACAACAAAGAGCAACACTTTCCTGACCTGGGATTTTTCATTTTCACAAAGAGACAAAACTAACCCTGTGTGTTTAACAGAACAATTTTGCACCTGGCACACGCAATAGCTGCAGCGTTTGCCTTGCTGAAACCATTTCCCTAGTTTTTGCATTTCACAAAGGAATAAATTGAGGTGAATAGACGAGAGTACAATTTCTCATATGTAAGATATGGGTTCATGAAGTGTACTTTGTCAACTCTGAAGTTAGGCCATGTCTGACACGGGCTTCCAAAGCTCCGGCTAGGTCTATTGTCTAGGCGTCTCTGCACATTTCCAATGGAGGGAAGACCTAGACCTAGCTCTAGACAACAGATTTAGATGCAGCCTATTAAAGTCTCTGTTTTAAAAAGTGACCACCGTCCAACACAACTTTTATTTTTTGTGCAGCTATTTTCACATAAACGGTACAAAATGTTTGCTTTGGTGGAAGGGTCCACATTTTAGCTTGTGTTTTCCTCATCAGGAAATTGATGCTCCATCCATAAAATATCCAGATAAGCATAATCTGATTTCAAAAGTATTAAACTGTTCTCTATAACAAACTGGCGAGACTGGAAGAGTCCCTAGAAACTGTGCACAAGTTTATATTTCTTTTCGATTACAATTTTAAACAACCTTAGTCAGCTGTTCAGAATGTTTTGATTGAAAATATTATAACTCGTAGTTTGAAATAAAATGTTCATTGATGCAAGCAAACTCATTTTAAAGGGCATCCTCGTGGCGTACTAATTCGTTTACCAAAACAGTAATTTTTCATTGACGTGGAAGGAAAAAAATGAACACGCACACATCGATTACTTTCTTTGCTGTTGTTTTTCCATTTATTCTTGAAGCAGTCTCGAAGTGTCAAACATGGGCGTAAATCCTGCCAGATTTGGGAGGATACATGTCTGTGTGACCAAGGGAGAGTGGTTAGGGTGTAGGGCTGGTGGATACATCAAAGATATCTCTGCAGTGTGTGTACTCAAAGCATGAACCATTGACTGTGATGCTGGACTTTCTGGCTTTGTGTGCCAAGATGAAAATGCCAGACTGTTCATTTTCCTCTGGAAAGGTTCAAGTGCTAGGCCTCTGAGATTGATAGCTACACCTAGGTGTACGGCATTGATAATTTCAATGATTGAGATGTTTGTACCTTGGGTTTCTTTTGTCAGGACATAAAAGAATGATTGAAAAAATCAAAGTAATAATAAAATTGAATTAAAATCACAATGATGGCAATAGTGGTGTCGCTTTGTATTCACATCTTGGGATCAGGTTGAAGTTGATGCATGGTGTCTTAAACAGAAGGAAGAACACAGAACTGGTGAGGAGACTCAGACCAAAACCAATAGATGTCTGAATTCAGAAGTAGCAAATCACAGCTGTTCTTGTGGGATGGTGGGCTGTTTGTGTTTCCAAGGCTGTTTAGTATCACCCCAGTCCTTCGTAAGAAGGTGTACAATTTTAATCAGTGATTTGGCGCATCTGTATTACAAGTGATTTGAAGGGAATGCTGGCAGGCACTCTGCAGATCTAAGTATGTGGCATTTGACACGGAGAGTTACAGGGAATGAGGGAGACGACATTCATGAGTAGTTGTTAGCCTCAAGGCACAGTTTGCTATTAATAGGAAATGGTCTGAACGTGAATTTCTGTGAAATTGACGGGCAGGCACGCGCTAAATGGGGGGGGGAGGAGGGAACATACTGCAAAAGTGCAGTGCTCTTTGGCTGTCTGGAACTAACAGGAATTGATTTGTCTGGTCAGGTTTGCTGAAATTTCAGCACTCGCATGAAATGCGTTATGTTACTTAATGAGAACACCTTTGGTATGCCTTCAGTGGATTTTTTTATTTGCGTTTTGAGTACCGATGTAAATATACCTGAAAGTACTTCCTTGTTGTTTCTTGAATATTGTGGCTGTACTTGCATTGAAATTTTGATGACTTTTTTATTGAGGATTGAGGGCACAATCTGATCCAGACTTGCTCAAGGTCTGATGAGTTCATTGAACAACCCTTTTAAGTTAGAGGGATATTGTAGAGGTTACATAATACCCTGATTAACTGTAAGATCATTTTTAAGTATGGAGAAAGGACCACAGCTGGCTGTGAATTATCAAACTATTTAAAGAATGGTGAGAACATTTTGTTATCAGGCGCTTGGAAAAATTCAGATTTTTTAATGGTAGTTGGGGACAGTTTGGATGAATGAAGGGATTTGAGGATGACCTATTGTCATTAGGGTGTGGAAATAAGATTAAAAATGATTGGGAGATAATGTATTTATATAAGCTCTAAATAAAGTTCAACAGATTAGGTCAGGGTAACATGGGGCATGTTATGTTGCCCAGGGTATTAACCAGTTTAAGCAGGGTGGGTTCACCTGTGATTGTGAAAGGTAGAATAATATTGGCAGTGTTGTGCAAATCCTATTGTACTCTGTCAGGCCTTGGGAGTTTTTAGGGCTTATTTGGGAAATGTCACCACAATGGGAACGTTATTTGAAAAGTGCCACAAAAGGGGTCTGAATGGGTAGCAAATAGGGTCACTGGGGAGGGAACTGATTGTTGAAAGGGGGGGAGTCTGTGGTCTTGGGTTTAAGCTAGGTGTTATAACAGAAAGGCATATGAAAATCCTGACTTCTTACTGGATAGGATGTGGCCTTTTACTCTGTCAAATGTGAAAATGCAAGACAGTGAAAAGGATGCTTCTGCTGCTGAGAGGCTTAAGAATGAAAATTGTTACATTTTTAAAATAAAATAACCTTGAAATGATAAGTTGAAAAGAAAACGATGTTGGTTTTACAGTCCTTAATACATGAAAAACCAATTTCCTCTTCTCTCAATGTCCACATCTTAATCACATCTGGTGAACCACTCTCTCTGATTGTCTAACCTGTGAAACATTCCTTGGGTATTTGGGAAAATGGAGTTAATGAGTTGTTGCAAGTTTATAGTCCTCAAACTCCATTAACAAAAAAATTGATTTGGGAAACCAGAACTCTCAGTCTTCTTTTATGGGACCCTGGAGGTACTTTTCTTGGGACCCTGGATTCCTGAATCAAAACAAGCAAACAAAAGTGTTTGGAAATTGTGTAGGACAGATCTTGTGTACAAACGAATACCTTTTTTACATGGGAGCAGTGTAGTGTCAGGTTGAATTGACGTAGATGTCTGCAGGCTAGAATGATATGAGTGATCACCCATTCCCTTCTATAGAAAGTCTTAGGGAGTTCATTGTCAGAGGGAATTTCCCGATACCTTGATGACTGCGGTGTAATTACATGAACCCATCCATGTACTTTGATATGCTGAGGTTAAGATAAGGATCAAAAGTGCCTCACTACAAAGTGGCAAGCCCATTCAAGCCCGTTACACCCATTGGCAAGTCATACAGAAAGCGCATTCTTTCCTTTATGCAGTGCATACGTCTCTTATCTGTTCCTGTGACATCTGACAGTATGATGCTTTGATAAATCCTGTAATGACTGATCCCTCCTAGAGTAAGCAACCTACTCAGTGTAGGGCAGATCCAGGAGGTGGGACCAATGGGAACCCGTTCCCCCCCCCCAAATAATGAACAATTTTTTGGGGTGTTTTTCCCTTTCTTTCAAAAGCTTGTAGAAAGCCCTCAAATGAAGCTTCAGCCCTCAGAAAGGCTATAAACAAGATGTAAATAGTAGTTTAAAGTCATTTTACATTAATCCAACAGTAATTGCAATTCAACACTTAACAGATATTCAGTCACAGCATTCAATCAGCATGCATAGTTTCCAGAATTAAGTTCTCTCTGCATTGGTTTTGAGCACTTGCAATGTACATGTAACTCATGCCATGAAATGCACCACATGTACAATGTATGCCTATGTACAAACCACTTTTCAGGAAATCAAAGAGATTTTTGTGCACTGCATTAAGACGTCAGTATTTAATTTCAAAACATGTCCACCACCACAGAAAGGGTCAAACTGGAGAACTGGGATCTCTTTGCCTGCATATAGATAGTCTACAATCCGGAGTGAGCAACGGTTGATTGTTTTGTTATTTTACCAAAGTCCAATTTCATTTGGTCCATTTGTTTTCTATTTCAGACCTATTTCTTCACTGACCAAGATGACCCTCATTACCAACAAGTATTAGGTGAGTGACAGCCCTGCAGTCAATCTTAGTTCAGCTTTCTCTCTCTTGATGCAAGACAGTTGGATGTTGGTAGGGTTTTCACACAGTTCAGTAATTATGAAGTTGGGGTTTTTATAAGTGTAGAGGTCGGAGGAAAACACTTGAATAGGTATTTGAATAAGTCTTGAAACTGACTTTGATCAATTCCATGTTGATGTTTGTAGCCCTTAAAAAAGTTGGAAATATCAACATTACCCATTGTTTTGGATGAAGATAGGTTCAAAGCCATCCTTGTGATGGGGTAAGGGCAGTTTAAGGCATTCTGGCAGAATACGTGTTAAAGTGGTGCAGTCTTACTGCCCTTGCCAAACACAACTGTTACCAAAGGAGACAGTTCATTCATTCCCCTTCCCCCAGCCAACAGCCCACCAACCTGTGAAAGGCTACAAAAGTTGGGAATCCTTATCCGCTCTGAGCGCAACAAAAGAAGGTTGTGGTTTTTTTTTTGGTACTCACTGCATAGGCCCGCGTTTATAATGGATATCAATGGCGCGTTTGATACGGAGTAGGCTGAATACACATAACAAATTTATTCCTTAATATATGGTCTTTGCGTAAACGCAGAGCGTTTGGAAGAACCCGCTTGGAATACTTACAACCGTCTTTCTTTTGCCGCTTGGGGGTGCACTTCAGCTTGGGGCGGATAGTGTTTTTCATCTTTTGGGCTGTTAAGGATAGTTTCTCTTCAGTGTAGCAACTATTCAAATGTTTAGAATTATCTGTATGTGTATAATGTTTTTGTCATCAATTTCAGGAGACCACTTGATAAATACCAAATGCCCAGCTCTTCACTCTAGGTAGGTGGCTTGTAAATGGTTGTATGCAGTTTGAGTTGTTTATTTTATTTTTTCTGATTGCCAGTTGTGAATTGAGTTATCATCATGCTTGTCATTCCGAACCATGAGCCCCAAAGTCAAGGTTACCGCCCTCATATCTAATATCACAGTCAGTGTCACTTCCAACACTACCATTAGTGTAATCACCAGCATAGTAATGTCCAGTTCCAAATAATTTGCATATTTGCATAATTTTGCATATTTGAAACCATCATTGATTGAATATTTGGAAATTGCTAGACATGTTTTACATGCAGTAGCTGCTGATGCCTGCTGCCTTAGTCAAAAATGTAACTACAGTGTTTAATAAATTGTGCATACTGCAATCGATATTCACAGTGCCTGCTGTGTCAACATTGACATTTTTACTCGCCAGTTATTCTAGATGTGGAAAGTTCAACTAGAAGTGCTCTTATATTAGGAGTATGCTGTTGACTGTTGTACAGACATGCAATTGCCTGACAAATTGCAAATGTTTTCCACCTCTTACAGGGAGGAAATTGTCTCAGGAATCGGTACTGTGCAGTTTCATGTACCACTATACCATAAAATAGCAATGACTCCAACCTTCATGACTCTTCTCTCGCTGAGTTTACTCTTTGAGTGACCATAAACATATTCAGCCTCAGAGAAAAACAGAACATTTATTTATTCCATGTCTGTTATTTTCATCTGCTCAGACCATGCAAGCAGAGAGTTTGGCCAAATTTCTTACCCTCAGTTGTGATTTTTATACCACAGCAGAACAACCATGTGTTCATCTCCTTCCTCTTTCCCAAAATATATAAATTCTGGTGATGCCCATGTCCAGAGTGCCACCCCATAATGCCATGAATGCCCTTTCCATCATCACATCTACCACTTTAAAGACACAAGCATTTTTGTAACTATCCAATCAAAATAAGTGTGTTTACTTGAACGTAAATTGCTATGTTGGAGGCAGATTGACAGATTTGAACACGGTGAGTCAGCCATACATGTGTTCCATCACTAACGATGATGTAATGCTTATCTTTTTTTAGATGGTATCGTGTCTTAAGTATCCATTTCCCAGCATCAAATATCCATTTCCCAACATCGCCAGCCAACATGACATTCCGAGCCTGTTTTGATGAGTGCATCTCTCCCGAGATTTCCAAATTCCAATTACGATTGAGGAGAGCTTTTGTGTGTGATATCCCAATGACTTTTTTTGGATACTGAAGCTGTCAAAATATGACAGATGGTTTCTTTCCTTATTACTTGGGGGTGTGTATATTTAGAAAGAATCAGAGAACATCTTGCTGGAGTTACTCAGGCTCTGATTCTCAAAGGAAAAAAAAGTTGGCCTGTCATTATTGCTGCCAAATTGCCAGTGCTTCATAATCTTCAAGAAAATGTTCTGATGCTTGTTATATAAACATGTAACACTGGAATGTTATATCAAAATCAATTCGACCAAAGTCAAGAAGATCAATAAAGAAACTGGACTCTTATGAATTCAGAAAGAGTTGAATACTGTAAAAACAAAATAAAGTGTGGTAAATTTTTGCTATGTGTGCAAATATGAATTGATTGAAATGTTTTGGGTTTGCTTTTCTTTTTTGTTGTTTTGTTTTTATTAGCTGTTTCAGCGTTTCAGCGAAACAGCTCTTGTTTTTGTTTTTTTTCTTTTTAGCTGTCTCGGCAGGTCATTACTTCTGTTTTTTTTTTTCTTCCGACGACTTCTCCCCCCAAATCCCCTTTGTTTTGTATGTGTGTCTTCCACCATCGACTTTAATCCCTTAGCAACTTTGGATCTTCATCAAAGTTACACCAATGAAGGACCCTTGTGTATAGATGGTCCTAGAACAAAGACGTCATGATGACGTCATCAAGTGATTTATTATTGATTTTATAATATTTATTTCAGCCCATTTCTTTGTACACGTTTTTGAGGTATCATTTGGGTAACTTAACTATCTTTGATCCTCATCAAAGTTACCCCAGGCACAGACCTTAAGGCGAAGATAATACGAAAGTAATTATTAGTTGTCATTTATTCTTAAATTTTTAAATATTTAAATTTTATGTTAATGTTGTAAAAATTCATATAAAATCAACCGTGGCCTCCCGCAAAATTCTGTTTGCGGCAAATGCCAGAGTAAAATCGGGTCTTCAATTCATCTCCTGTGGGTCAAATCACGTGACCCTTCCTTCCAGTTGAAACCGCAAGTGGGCTTATTGTTTAAAAGTGGTGATAGGTATCAAGTTGTTTTCAATGGTTTAGTCTGTTTGGGTAGAGTATTCTTCAAATCATCTACTGATGTCATGACGTAATTGTCGAGCGCTCTCTAACGATATTAGTTAACAATTTTGCAAAATGCATTTTGAATACCGGTAGATGTCTGTGGTGAAGTTTGTTTGTAAGATTTGAGGCCAATGACGTCATCAGATCGGAAGTTATTATGAAAACTTCTTTTATTCTGCAAAATTCAGTAAAAAATCAACTGTAACAGATGCGTGAATCGTTCAGCATGAATTGTTCATTAGATGATAGCCAAAACATTGCAGTCAACTGCATGACGTGCCTAAGTGGTGTACTTCTTCACACAGATGAAGCGCCAACGACGAAAACCCCCTTGCAATATTTGCGAACTCGAAAATCCCTTTCGTGTACTGTGGATTGGCTACTGTTTGCATGGACGCTTAATATCTGCCTGTAACGTGTGGCCGGCAGCACACCGTGCGTACGGCATATACTCAGGACCTGGCAAAATACTGAGCATGTGGTGCCAAGAGCAGATCGCATTGCATGGAACGGCAAAAGGGATAAATGATGTCATCAACTAATTTATTATTCATTTTTAAAAATTTATTTCAGCCCATTGACTTTGTTCACATTTTCATGACACTCTTTTGGTGATTTGGCGATCTTCAATTGTAACCAAAGTTACAGCCAACAAAGACCCTGATGCAAAGATACGTCCAAATTTATGAAGTCATCAATTGATTTATTATTGATTTTTCAATATTTAGTTCAGCCCCATTGACTTTGTACACGTTTTCGAGACACGATTTTGGGTACTTGGCGATATTCGTTTTTGTCGCCGTGACTTT